TCCCCCAACACAGTAAACTTCAACCACACGACCAAGCAGCAACAGATGTTATCGACTTTCGTGTCAAGGGCAACTGCATTTTGGAAGATAACTGTTCGAATCTTCATCGCTTACAATGGACCCGAAAACCTATATCAACACTACCAGCCAAGGATATCGTTGTCTTTGAGGAGGTCAGTTGGATAGTAGATCGTAAAGTTCAAGGTTTCTATATTTTACAACATTCATGTTTTGTCAACAATATGTTGTTGGAATGGGAGTTTTTTGACAATGATGATCGTGTATTCAGGTAAGTTGCCTTAAGGCCTAGTCTGGTCTCCCGGCCATAATCTTAAGGCCTAGTCTTGTGTCTTCCGGTCTCAACTGTAAGGCTTAGTCTTGTATCTTCTGGCCTCAACTGTAAGGCCTAGTCTTGTGTCTCTTAAGACCTAGTCTTGAATCTCTTAAGACCTACTGTAGTCTTGCGTCTTCCGGCCTTAACTGTAAGACCTAGGCTGTGTTTCCTGGCCTTAGCCTTCAAGCCAGAATTTCATATTTTCTATGAAAGTCAAAACATAATTATTTCTATGTCTTTTGCTCAATAGGTTATCAACTCACTATTATACGACTATGGGCATTATTTCCCACCCTTAAAAATCATTGACACAGGAAATAATAACACAATTACCTCCCTTGTTTTCCTATTGCCTCCATGCATTAGCTATCTTCAAATGTTGGAATTCGAAAATGATATTTTTGCCAATTTCGCAGCTGGCAATAGTGAATTATAGGATTAATAGGATTATTCTTTAACAAGGTAGGACTGTGTATGGATACCATCTATTTTAAGGCTTTATTTTAATAAATTTTAAAAATATAACTTAACAAATATGAAATTGTAGCTTTAAGATCTAGTCTTGTCCCATTGATCAAAATTTTGAAATGTTCAGTTTGCTTGTTACTCTTCTTTTGTTTTTAGGGGTGGTTGAGTGGTCCAAGCTCATAAGGTCTTTCATTGAGTCAAACCTCCTGGGTGTCAGTCCAAAAATGTTGGTTTGTTTTGTGTGAGTGTTAATCCCCATTTCTCTCTTTTTTTACTTTAAGATGTCAGATGAAGATACAGAAGGAAGATGTTGGAACCGAACCTGCAGTGTCTGTTAGTAAGATAGGCTCTAGAAATTTTGCAGCAGCTGATATCTTGTTTAAGCTCTACGAAACACAACCAGTCATAGAGGTAAGTTATTCTATTGAATACTTGAATTAGCTTTAGGGATATGGATTCCTGAGCTAAATAGGGCCTACATTATATAAAGATAGGTTGCCAGGCAACTAAACATACGCCCACAGCAGCTAAATCGTCCGAGCGGTCGACAAGAGTTGTCGTATATTTGTTCTTTTGTAGGTAATTAGGGGGCATTTAATAGACAACTTCATACAGATGACATTATAATTTTCGTCGTTTGAGGGTTCACAAGGTTCTAAAAATTAAAACAAGGGCTGTAACTCAGGAAGTAATCTACAGAAATTATTGAAATTCGACAGACTTTTTCGTTTTACTAATTCAAATAATACATATCAATTTCATACAGATCGGATGATAACTTTTGTCGTTCGAACGTTCACAAGATTCAACAAAGTAGAACAAGGGCCATAACTCTAGAAGTAATTGACAGAAATTGCTGACATTCAATAGGCTTCTTCATTTCACTAATTTAAATGATGCATATGAATTTCATACAGATTGGGTGATAACTTTCGTCGTTCAAGCGTTCACAATATTCAACAATGTGAAACAAGGGCCATAACTCTAGATGTAATTAACGGAAATTTGCTGAAACTCAATAGGCTTGTTTGTTTTACTAATTTAAACGATACCTTTAAATTTCATACAGATCGGATAATAACTTTTGTCGTTAAAGCAACCACAAGGTACAACAAAGTGAAACAAGGGCCATAACTCATGGCGTAATTAAAGGAAATTGCTGAACTTCAATAGGATTCTTCGTTTCACTAATTTAAATCATGCATATCAATTTCAAACAGATCGGATGATAACTGTTGTCATTAGAGCGTTCACAAGATTCAACAAAGTGAAACAAGGGCCATAACTCTAGATGATTAACGGAAATTGCTGAAATTCAATAGGCTTCTTTGTTTTACTAATTTAAATGATGCATATAAATTTCATACAGATCGGTTGATAACTTTTGTCGTTTGAGCGTTCACAAGGTTCAATAACATGAAACAAGGGCCATAACTCTAGACGTAATAAACGGAAATTGCTGAAATTCAATAGGATTCTTCGTTTCACTAATTTAAATAATGCATGTAAATTTCAGAAAGATCGGATGATAACTGTTGGAGTTAGAGCGTTCACAAGGTTCAATAAAGTGAAACAAGAGCCATAACTCTAGACGTAATAAACAGAAATTGTTGAAATTCAATAGGCTTCTTCGTTTCACTAACATAAATATTGCATATAAATTTCACAAAGATCGTATGTTAACTTTTGGCATTAGAGCGTTCACAAGGTTCAACAAAGTGAAACAAGGGCCATAACTCTAGACGTAATAAACGGAAGTTATTGAAATTAAATAGGCTTCTTCATCTCACTAATGAAAACAACATATATCAATTTTAAAACAATTGGATGATAACTTTTGGCGTTAGAGCGTTCACAAGAAATTGTGGACGATGGACGGACGGACCGGCGGACGTACCGACAGACGGACGGACGGGGGCGACGGCAATATACGTCCACATTTCAGTGTGGGCGTATAAAAACCAATTTAGCCAAGCATTGCATTTCTACACCCTTTCACTGAAGCAACGTTCCTGTCCCTTGAGCAGGGTTATCCTGTGACAACACCAGAAGATTGATATATGGGTGGGCTGGTCTAGTGGTCTAATGCATGCCCTTTAGATCATAAGATATGTCCTTGAATCAATTTGAGCCAAGCTTGTATGTGACAAGGAGTAGAATCTCATGTCCAGTATCGTGCATTTTTTTCCCGTTCCGTCAACATGCTGCCAATGGCTATACAAGGGACCTTTTTTCTTGTCCAGTCCATCTTGCCCTTGCAACAAGACGAAAAAAGGCTGGAAAAACCTGAGGAACTTCATTGGCCAGATTAAAAACAGATTCTTATCAATGAGCCAGTGTCCTACACACTGAGTCAGAACCCACCGAGCCAGCGGTTTACCCACAGAGGTGGGTCTTTACCCACTGAGACATTGTCTTACCAACTGAGCTGGTGGCTTAACCCCTGAGCCGATGGCTTATCCACAGAGCTGGCACCTCATGTACTGAGCCACCTTGGTTTTCGTTCTGCTCTTGTATTGCACATAAAAATGCCTTCCTGGCTAGGCACAGATTTGACCTTTAATTGATGAATGCCATTATTTAAAGTTAACCTAGATATCATGTCTTAGTAAATCGTTTTTCATTCCAGGTTTCTGCTTACACTAAACCTGATCAAGTGATAGAATCTGTCAGTTTTGATACGTTGCTTAAAGAAGCGGAGGTGTTGAAGAAAGCTGCCGAGGATGCAGGAGAAAACGTTACAGCTACTACAGCTGAGGGAACTGATTCAGAAACTGAGACCAGTGACACAGATGTTGAAATGAAGGAAGAAGTAACAGATTCACAGGCTTAGAAGAAATATCCTAGAAAACCACATTACCGTCATGCTGATAGATTTATTTTAAAAGCTGCCCAGGCACGACTAGACGAATTCATAAAAGTTAAAATGCTAAAAGATCTACTGTTTGGACCTGCTTTCCCTCATCATATCACATGCCAGATTAACGGCTTACTGTATAACCTCCCCGTTCCAGTTCGCTTTATAAATCATTCCACTAGAAATCAGATGTACACCATTGTAACGCAAAGTATGTCACCGATCAAAATTGTCGCATTTCTCAAAGCCAACGGTGGACAGTCTGGTCGCTTTCGTTTAGTCGACAAATCAGAACTTCCGACACATAAGGACATTTTACCAGAACTTAAAAGTAGGGAAATTTTAACTAAGATCAAATCCAAATTTTAGTAGAAATTTCAATTTTGATTGGCTAAGCACTAAAACCAATCAAATTGTTGGCTTTTTTTTGCTAATAAATATAAGTGCTAGTCTAATGTCTTGTCTCAATTACATCTTCAACAGTATGGTTTTGTTTCTAATTTAAAATCCAAATATTTGTCTAAAGTCTTTACCAGTTGTGTGGTTGAGTGGTCTGATGTATGCTTTAGATCATAAGGTCTGTCATTGATTCAAGTGCCATGGTTTGTGTTGAAGGTACTTCCAACCTTATTTGTCTTATTTTCGCCAGTCATGTTTGGCCGTTTTGACTGACTTGCAGTGAAATTGACCAACTGGAGAATACTAGTAGATCATAAGGTCTGTCTAAAGTTTAGACAAATATTTGGATTTTAAACTAGATTTATAAGGGGCATTTTAAAGGGGCATTGGCGCCATTGGGTAAGATTAGATAAGAGCTGACAGTTCTCGCTATAATAGTTCAACAATAAATAATAGAAACAGAAAATGCTGAAATTTCAGTCAGATTGCTTTGCTCTGAACCGAGATATAGGTGATTCAGTTTTAGGCTACAGAGCCAATTTTCTGAAAGGTAACCTTTTCTGTGGTTCAAGTATCTGATGTGAGAATCTGGGCCCTGTTTCTCGAAATCTTAACAGTGGGAATGCAGTTGACCCTACTCTTGGAAACGAAGCTAAGCCACTTCACTAAATGACAGACCTTATTATCCAACACGAATGCATTATCATTTGGACTCCACCCCCTCCCCTGCAGTGACACATGAATGTTGTGACCAATAACCACTTTCCTGTCTTAAGGCCTTTGAAAACAGTATTCCTCATTATTAATTTGTCCCAACTAATCATGGTTCATGAATGCGTGTTCTCGATATGTTGACACTTCTACGATGGTGGGTGACTACGAGTCATGAGTGAAATAATGTTATTTCGTTTAATCTGTTATACTAATATAGAGAAAATACAATTTACATTTTATGGATATAACTTTTATGGATATAACTGTTACAACAAATAACACATCTACACAAATTTTTAAGTTGACCTCATTTCAATCAAAGTAAATACATGTACCCGTAAGTATTGTTTATATTCGCGTTACGTTTGGTAGTGGAACCGTGACACTGACATATTGTACATCGTTGACTTCAGGGTTAGGCTTGTTGTCTACCAAAGTTAGGTTAACATCTTCCACTACACTGCAAAGTCAGTAACATCATCAAGCTAACCTTTGCTAAAAGGTTAATGTTAATAACATCCACCAATTAGTCTATACACTAAACACAAGACCTGCAGCATTCAATCTCTGTGATCTGTAAATAATTAATAAAAAAACATATGAACTTACTTCAAATTTACACACTATAACTTATTACATAAACTTTATGTAGATAAGGAAAGTGGATTTTGAGATGCACTCCAATGACAAGTAGTTGATTTTCATAAAAATTTACAAAAATAAGAACTGTTAATGAAAATAATAAACTGATTTACCTCAAGATAGATAATTGGAAATATTTTCTATACTTTTCTTCTGAAAAATGAAAGGGCGTAGTTTTATTATAAAACAAGGAACATGTACTACAAAAACATATAATTATTAATGTACCCCCTCGCCAACACGTACATCTATTTAAGAATAACAGAAACCATAAATTAAAGGCGTTTTTAGGACCCGAGCTTCGACCGAGACATAACACCTTTAAAATACAATGATATGCTATTCTAAAATAAATAACCCTATCACCATAAATAATCATGCGACTGATCCGCCAGCATGAGGTCCCTAACAATATCTATTTAAGAATAACAGAAACCATAAATTAAAGGCGTTTTTAGGACCATAGCTTCGACCGAGGGATAACACCTTTAAAATACAATAATATGCTATTCCAAAATAAATAACCCTATCACCCTAAATAATCATGCGACTGATCCGCCAGCATGAGGTCCCTAACAATATCTATTTAAGAATAACAGAAACCATAAATTAAAGGCGTTTTTAGGACCAGAGCTTCGACCGAGGGATAACACCTTTAAAATACAATAATATGCTATTCCAAAATAAATAACCCTATCACCCTAAATAATCATGCGACTGATCCGCCAGCATGAGGTCCCTAACAATATCTATTTAAGAATAACAGAAACCATAAATTAAAGGCGTTTTTAGGACCCGAGGGATAACACCTTTAAAATACAATAATATGCTATTCCAAAATAAATAACCCTATCACCCTAAATAATCATGCGACTGAGCGTTAAAAATATCTTGTCGAAGTAAAAGTACTGTTATTCCCACTATAACGGATGGTCCACATACTGAACCACAAGTCTGTTTTGGATATAAATAACACATTTCCTGACATGCATTATGAGGATAGCCATTTAAGTTAGGACTATGTGCTATTTGTATTTCTGCCACACTTAAACTGTTCATTAAACATGAATTATAGCCACTAATAAAGTTGTTTAAATTGAACATTAAACTATCTGGTATAGCTAAACCTAATGTATCAATATAAATGACTTTATTAATAACTACATCGTATACACAGAAAGAAAAATGATTCCCATGGATGATTTGTTCTCCGGTTTCAATATTTATATCTTTCCCAGCTAAATATGTGATTGTTTCACCAGTACTTGAGTGTGTTAAGGATTTAACACAGAGAACAAAAACAAATTTAGTGATATTAGGATACTTAGCATACAGCCTTGAACCTAAATTTTTAAGATCATGGATGCAATTTAAATAACCAACATAATCTGAGTCAGATATACGATCTTTCAACAGTTCAATCATTTTTTCAATCACTGAATCGCTTAGCCATCTATCACACAGCAGAGTTTTTAATTCAGATACTGACAACTGATAATTACCAGGAATATTAGGTTTGAAAGAATCTGTATTGTTCAGGAGAATGTTTTTTAATTCAACAACCTGTTCAAAGTTGATATTATCTATTGGTGTAAATAAGGGTTGCCAATTCAAAACATATTTGTTTTCATTTTCCAACTCTTGTCTTACTCTTTTTGCAATGTAAAAATCACGAAAACGTTTTATTTCTCCCAAAGTGAAATTGCCATATGGCAAATCTATATAAAAGTCTTTGTCATTCTGTATAGACCCAATAATCTGATCCAAATCTTTAATTGGAGGCATGTATTTTGACTCTTCACATCTAGAGAATTTAATATTTGTTATGTTTCGTTTAATAATATAGCTTCTACATATAACAACAGGCAGAATTTTGTTAGGCAATGAGAGATTAATTCTACTAGTACTATTAGTATTTTGTAAAGCCATATTTGAGTACAATGTAACTTGCTCACCTGTTTTAATTTCCTTAGATTATACTGAATACCGTGGCATACTGGAAAGGTCTTTGAAACCAATTTACGCTGAACAATCTAACACAGAACAGTAGTATAGTATTGTATGGTACCTTCTTCCACCAATCCAAGTGAAAAATCAAAACCACTATTGATGAACACTGAAATAGAAACATGTAACTACCCTAAATTCACATATTAGATAGTAAAAGCTTAATTAATTCTATTAGTTAAGTATAATATTTGAAATTAGATCTATAATATATAATTATGATTTTAATAAATCTTAGCTGACAATAACGTGCGGATTTCATTCAGTTTTAAGATTGGTACTATAGGCTATAGTATAGGGCCTAGCCAGTATAGCGATTCTGAAGGGAAAATACCGCTTATGACTCATGACGTCACTCAAATATGACAGAAAAGCACTTATTTTGGTGCCATCCCACGCATTGACTGGTATATAGAGCGTTTTGATCATTTGAAACTTTGAGTTTGACCTGAAACCCTATTAATTAATAAATAGGTAATATTAATAAAACAATACTACTAGGCCTATTTATTAGTATTTAGAATATATAATATATCATATGTAGGCCTACATACACTGTCATACAGTGCCTTTATTTACAAGTTACATCTGATTTATTAACTGATTATCAGACTTATCCATTTGTGTGTATCTCATTGATCATTCTCAGGCTCAAGTTATACTCCTGACAAGTCCACGAGTCACGATACTGTGACCCCCTGTTGGTTGCTGTTGTACTTACTTGTAGTTAAACTGTCACTACTACAACTTACTTAAGGGGTATAAATAAAATGCTTGAAATGAAGTCGGACTAGGTAGATATCTAGGCCTAATTATAATGTAGACTTGTTTTCATATCGATTACCCGACGCCAAGACCACTTCTACTGTACTAGCACTAATTTCAATGTAGGCTACTTAGTTAGTAGTCTTACCCCAAAAGTTAGAAAAGACTTCGTCAGCAAAAAAAATTATTTACAATCGGTACATCTATGATTAAGATTTGATTTATGCAGTTTTAGTCAAATACTAGCCTACTATAAAGTAACAAACTTCATTTACATTACCCAGGTCATAAAATCTCCTCAGAAAATAAAAGACAACTGTTTAGTGTTTGTAGCCCAATAAATATAAGAAGCTGACGCCGTTAAAAACAGTGTTAGTGTTAGCCTAAACATCAGAATATTGCGCCAAAAGCAAACCAGTTAAAAATATAATTTGCGGGTCACGGAAAGATAACTCTGTTTGGAAACATGGTTTGGTGTAGAGGAGTAACCGAAGTTGGCCGAGTGAAATCTGCAGAGATATGCCGGGATGCCGAGTCTAAAATAGAACGTGACTCATTGAAGATGCAGTTTTGCGCAGTTATTGTGTGCATTTGAAGCCAGCGGACATCCCTTCCAGTATAATAATATATCAAATAATTTATTAGGCGTTTTTGTGAACCGATTAGATTAGACCGATTAGCTATTATACGCATTTGTGAACCAAGTTGTTTATGCTAATCGTTACATTTGTGAGACGATTTAACTCAACTGATTAGGCAAATCGACCTAATCTTCCCAGGAGGTGTTTAGGCGATTAGATTTGACTTTTTCAAAATGGCGGAATGTTCGACGTCGTAAGTAATTTTTAATGCTTATTGTTGTTTTTCTCCATAAAAAATGTTTTTTTTTAAAATACATTTGACGTGTTTAATGTTAACTTTATAGTCCACAAGAATGTTAGATCTCCTCTAATCAATTTTATTCATTATTTACAGTTTTTTCAATATATTTCTCGATCCTAGGTTTTCTCAGTAAACTTGGTGATTTTGAGATTATGATTATACATTTGATTTTATTAGCTTTCCAAGTAGATCTCATCATTCTTCTCACAAAACTTTTTACAGATTCAAAATCGGATGAAAACTTTTTTTTTTATTGAGGCTCAAAGTTGCGATTTTTGACTTTTCGCGGAAGAAAGGTTTTTCAACACTTTGAAAAAGCCATTTTTGGTGTTTTTTGTGATGCCATATTTCATTTCATATCAAACCTATTAAAAATGAAGATGTAAATTCATGAAATACAACTTTAAGGCTAATTATGCTTCAATTTTCACATTTTTGTAATAATTACACCGATTTCCACAGTAACTGCAAAATACATAGGTTTTCTCAAAAATTTCATTTTGTCAGAGCGATTTTGGTCAATTTTTTCATCAAAAAAGGGTCTTGTGCATGTTATATCTGTAATTTTGAACCTGGTTGTTATGCATTTTAAAATCAGTAGCTATCAAGTATGATTAACGAAAAAAAAAAGAGTAAAAATATATATATGCCTTCTCTCAAGAGCTGAATATATGTTCATTTTTGAACAATTTTCCGCGGCACACAATTGCCTATTTTTGGGGCGTTTTTGGGACATTAATAAAATAAGAAGGAATGGAGATACACATGTGAAATTATGGGAATATGTCAAAAAGTTTGTGAATTTTTAAAATCACTTATTTCCAATCCGCCATATATTATCAATTTTGGTTGTCATAGCAACCAAAATGGAAAAAATGCAATTTTTGACCATTTTCAACGCTACTTACCATAACCCAAAAGGTCATCACCACATTTTAAAGTAAGCAGTTTAAAATATTTGAAACCCATGTAATATTAAATGATATGGATTGTGTAAGTTTGAGAAAAATATGAATGAGTTTGGGCTGTTACCATAGCAACCACATTTATTTTTTTCCGAAAAGCATTATTTTCCAATAATCATGACATCAATATTGATAATTGTATTATTTTAAAAACAGAAGCTATTGGACAAGATTTTAAAAAATAAATAAAATGAAAATATTTATATGTCTTCTCCCAAGAGCTGGAAAGGTGTTCCCTTTTGAAGAACATTCTGCAGTAGCTAGTTCAAGTAGTTGTCCATTAATTAAGACATAAATAAAATATAAAAGGAATTAAGATCTTGAAGAGAAATTTTGTTTACAAGTAAATATGTTTGTGAATTTTTAAAATTACTTATCTTTACTCTTGTATATTACTTAATATTTGGTTTTTATAGCAATCAAAACGAAAACAAACACCCCCAAAAAGGCAATGTTGTTCCATTTTCAATGATGTTTACCATGACAAACCAATTGATCGCCACATTTTAAGTACAGTAGCAGAAAGCTTTTTAGCATATATTTATAGCCCATGTAATACAAAATATTAAGAATTATATAATTTTAGTGAATTATTAAGGATTTTGGATGGTTGTCATAGCAACCACATAATTTTAAAAAACGGACAACTCTTGTTGCATTATCATTGTTCTCAGCATTCCTTGCTTACATTATTGTTAGAATTCTGCTTTTACATATTATTTTCTACTCAGAAGATAACATTGACCAATAAAAAATTATTCTCTAAAGACTAAAGAGTAAAAGTAGGTTACTCAGTTACTGATAGGCTATGGTAGGCCTAGTCATGTTTATAAAGGCCTAGGCCTAACAGCTACAATTTAACTCAAAGAATTGTTATGTTTTTACTTCACTTTTGAATATTTATATTATTCCTTCAAATTGGTATGTAGCCCATTGAGCAGCTTCCTTTTTTGTATATTTTAATCAATGTAAACAAATATCGAATCAAGGCCCAATTAAGGCCTTAGGTTTGTCGGTTCATTCAATTGTTTAACTGACCAACAAATATGTGATACTCGAGGTGTTAAATATATTTTCCTAAAAAAAAGAATTAAAATTATAATAATTAGTATGACAACTGTTATATAATGCTAAATTATTTAGTAAAAACTAAAACGTTTTGAGAAAATTGGGTATCCGTATCAATACTGAGTGATGATAGTAATTAGTATTGACATGACTGACCTAATTCATAATCTATGTCGGTTCCATCATCTCAAACGAAATGTTGCAAATCGCCAACGGCAAATCCAGAAATTGAGCCATTTTTCAAATTATTTCAGCTAGTTGGTCCAACTTTATATATTTGGGTATAATATCCGTTTATGTGGATAGAAATCGATGTACTAATTATCAGTAGTACCTATACTATCTTCCTCACGCCTGCTGTCAGTACCAAGACCCGTGTGGATGTTTTCCGGTTTCATTTGCATTCGTGTGCACTGAAATGCCTTAAAATTGGGCTTGAATAATTCAGTGAACAGCGAATTTATGATTTCAGAGCATTGAAACATTCGTCAATTTTACGGAATTGTTCAATTCTTGAAAAATGTTTGGTGTTAAAAGTAAAGACGTGTGGTCGCTGATAGGAAATTTCCATTCGATTTTATATTTATATCCTGTCACATGGTTATAAAAGCGCGCGAATATGAGTCACGTGATGTAAACACAGTCAACCCAGCAAAGCCAAAAGGCGTGAAAAAAATGGAATTAACTATCCTTATTTATTTTCAGGCAAGTCCTTTATTCATATAACATAACGCTTACTTCATAAATAAACATCGGAGTTGCCTTTCAACGTAATTTACCGCGAATATGAGTCTAAGGAACATGGAATACATTTTAGTTTTGGTGTTGAAATGACGTCATAACAAGGCTAAACAACGCGATTTATTTTTGACAAAATTTCTCATTGTATACCATTTTCAATTGCTTGGCGGGCGCACTTGCCATGCTCCGATTTTGTTGATTTTAATAGCATCAAAACGACAATAAAACGAACTTTCAATCGGTCGGGGGTGCTATATTGACAAATCGCCTAAAAAAAAGATTGCGTGAATTGAAGCGTTCAACTTGCAAAAAATGCATGGTATTTCGAAATGCCAACAAAGCACCCCGACCAATTGAAAGATCGTTCATTTATCTTTCTAATGATATTAGAATGAAAAAATAATATTAATAATAAGTGCGCCCGCCGAGCACTTGAAGTGGGGTACCCTCGTTTAAAAACGTGACAAAATTTTTCAGCGTAACGTCAAAACACGGGAAATTAACGTTTTTCAACTTACGTTTATGAAATTAATCAAATGAACACATATATAAAAATTATATCAAACAAAAGAACAGGATATCGGCTTCCAAAATATTTTAAAATTATTACAAAATATTAAATAGCCACCGTATGACGTTAAGTTGAAAAAGGGTTACAAATCGGGAAAAAATGACTTTCTTCCAACGCGGGCAATGGAGCTGTGACACCTATTTTTACATGTTTTGTCACTTCAGTTTTAAAAAAAATACTTGAACTTGTTGGACATAGGAGATTGTTTCTAACGGCAACCATTTTTCCTTTTTTGCGTAGATAACCTTCATTTGTCTTTAACAAGTCATCAATAATTAGCAGAGACAATTTTTTTTTTCTGATCGGTGTCCGTGATGGCAGCCATCTTACCAAATCGTAATTATCAAATTTCACATTTGTGGACCATAGCTAATCAAATCGAAATCATACCAAATCGTACTAGCAAATCAAAACCTAATCTAATCGACTCACAAAAACGCCAATTGTAATAAACTAATCTAAGTCTTTATATTATAACATGATAAGATTATCATAATCTTTCCAAACAAATTACTTTATTCAATTTTATATAAATTTACTAATGATTACCCAGTATTGATTCGAGCGCTTTTTCTTCATCAATGGTTACGTCTGAATTTACTATATTAAACTTTTATACATATCGACTAATTCAACCCAATAACGATGGTAAATAATAATAATAATGATGAAGCGGAGAAGTGTGATGAAATTGTCGGCGCTGTCAATGGGTAATTTGAAAGGCAATTGAATAGAACTAAGAAATAAAGACACTGCCCACTAACATACTCATTTATTTTATATTTATGATAAGCCGATAAGGTCCATGACCATGCCACGACCCCGCCCCTTCTACTGACAATGACAGTACAGTAGCTCTGTAAATAGTTCTATATGGCATTATTTGCTAGTAACATATTAATCTAATTTTAATTGTAAAAAAGGGTATTATTATTCATTTCAAATGTATTAAATATTACGAAGTGGATATTTAACCGTATACGGCAAAGTATCTACTTCCGCTATTTTACCGTACATCGTTTCGGCGCAGAAGCACGATTTTACGGGAAAAACATAAACCACTGACAGTCTTAGTACTTAAATTAAAACCAAAATCCGCAGAAATGCGCCCTCGACCAAAATAGAATAATATTCTAAATGCTTTTCAACAATTTACATGTTAGACAAAGAACGAATAGAACTGTTGGGTAAGGGTTGGGTTAGGGTTTGGGTTGCGGGTTAATGTCAGACGCCAAAGTGCTATAAATTCATTTTTGTGCCCTTTTTCCCAATTTTTCCACTTGGACCCCATTTCCATGATGATGTACCTAATAAATTATCATAAGTGCCAGTGATCACAAATTAAGGCCATTTCCTACCCAACCATTACCTACTTACCGTACATGTACTTTTACAGGTTTCACAAAAAGAAAAAATAGCAATATTCTGTATATGTCAAATTATGTATGTTTTTTTTTAAATCTTTATGAGGGTGTTTGGTATTTGAAAAAAAAAAAAACATGTTCAAATTGCAAAATTCTAATTGTTATATAACTTTTCTCACCATAATTATTACCTTGTTGAAAACTGAGTTGTCTTTGAAATTTAAAAGCAAATACATGTAAATATCATACCAGTTGTCGTATTTTGACAACTGCTAACGGCTAGTGAATTATTTAATAAAAATATCCTTCACATCGTATTGGCATATGCAGAGCTTATGTATACATGTAGATAGTAGGGAGGGGATTGTGTTTGAGTGTAACCTAAAGTCAAAATTGAATTTGGCCTGATCCTCAACCGGTTTGGTTAATTTTGTCATCTGGACTATATTAGACCGGGAGCCCAGGGGGCCAACCTAGCTGAAAAGTGTACCAATTTTTTCCTATATGTTATCAATGCATGTATATCTGGTATCATCAGAATGTAAGTCTGCCGGTTTTCCGGTGGTGGGTGTGGTATTCCACGCCCAAAATGCCATGCAATTACATAGCTCTGTCAGGGGTAACCCACCACTAGAAATGTGTGTTAGAGTGTTTTTGTAACACCTGAAGATGTACGGTACACTGCTGTACGATTTTCATGTGGTACACTTTTGAGCTAATCTAGCCTAGTTGGGGGGCATGGCATTTTGGGACCATCAGAAACCTGGCAGACTTACATTCTGATGATACCACCAGATATACATGCATTGATACCATATAGGAGAAAATTGGTACACTTTTCAGCTAGGTTGACAGCAGTGTACCGTACATCTTCAGGTGTTACAAAAACACTCTGACAGACATTTCTAATGGTGGGGTACTCCTGACAGAGCTATGTAATTGCCAGACATTTGTAGTGGTGGAGTATCCCTGACAGTGACAAAGATTTATCTAATTTCCAGACCATAGCTAGGCTAGATTAGCTGAAGTGTGTACCACCTAAAAGAGCTTTGGAGTTGTTCAGTACCACGACAGGTATCATGAATGACCACTGCCAGACAGTTTGTGCGGTGGGTTACCCCTAATAGACACACCCCAAAATGCCATGTTATACCCCATTTAACTCTCTCATTATCTATTTTTGAACTGTATGTATTACAGCCATCTCTTTATCTATATTTTATATAATTAATGTTTAAACTGTTACTTGTTTTAAGATATTTATATTTTCAGTAAAAATACATTGAAAGATGAAGTTAACATTACTAGTTGTAAAAGAAAAGGATATTTGGAGTGGCCAGATTATTTCATGGCGATTGCCTTTTTATCAGCACAGAGAAGTAAAGATCCTAGAACACAGGTACACACTCAGCTGATACACAAAGGTTGTGTGAGCTCTAATAAAAATCTAGGGGATTTAATGGTTGATTTATATTGAACTTTATTACAGGCGAAGCAAAAAGTTTGCTGTAGCCAAAACATGTATACAAATATAAATAATATACATTGATAATTAATAAAAGTATGAATAACAATAGAGTGTAAATACCCCCACCTCCCTTTGTGCAAATTCACATCACTACCCTAAATACTTCGAAAATTTATGTACACCTATACTATTCAAAAAAAGTAGGGGATATTTGATTTTGGGGGCATAATACTAAAATATGCAAATGACTACGAAAAAAGTCACTATAGTACCTAACAGAAGAAACATTTCCAGTTACATGTGACGCCCAAACGCACCAATAGCTACCGCATGGAATGCAGGTGATGCTTGGGATCATCATGGGGGTCCAACCCAAGATTTGCACGACTCTGACTTTGAATGTTACAGTCATTGTGGCATTGAATTCCAGGGTGGAAACATCAGTTTAATTGTTTTAGTGACCAGAAAACAAATTTTGATATGCGTCGGCTTACCCAAAATGAAAGGTTACGTGCCCTTGGCATGCTACAGATCGGCACAACACAGGCGGTTGTGGCGCGGACGACGAATGTTTCTCAGTCTGTCATAAGCAGGCTATGGTCCAGATATCGTGATACACAATCTGTACAGGACAGACCTCGCTCAGGTCGACCAAGGGCGACAACTCAAGCCCAGGATCGATTTATCCGTACCTTGGCCTTGAGAAATCGTGTCATCACAGCAAATCAGATCAGCGCTCGTCTTCAAACAGACACTGGTGTGAGAGTGAGTATCCAGACGATTCGGAATTGACTGCATAGGGGTCACCTTCGCGCCCGACGTCCTCGCATGATCCCTTGTTTGAGAGATCATCACATTCAGGCAAGACGTCGTTGGTGTAGGGATCGTCAACACTGGGATAATCGACGCTGGAGCAATGTGATGTTTTCAGATGAGTCAAGGTTCACTGTTGATTTTTTGGACAGACGTAGGAGGGTGTGACGTCGTCGAAACGAGCGCTTCCAAGACGTTAACGTCATCAGACATGATCGATTTGGGGGTGGTTCTGTTATGGTGTGGGGAGGCATCACTGTTGCTGGAAGAACGGCTTTACATGTTGTTGCAGGGCGTGTTACAGGCCAGTACTACCGGGACAACATCTTGGCAGTCCATGTTGTGCCGTTCGCACGACGTCATGGCCGCCGTTTCATCTTCCAGGATGACAACGCAAGATGTCACAGGGCCAGGATCGTTACAGGTTACCTCCAACAACAGAACATCACCACATTACCTTGGCCAGCACTGAGTCCCGACCTCTCCCCCATCGAGCATGTCTGGGACATGCTTGGACAGAGGTTACGTCAACGTCAACAACGTCCTGCCAATGTCCAAGAACTTGCTGCTGCGTTGCAACAGGAATGGGACAATCTGGACCAAAATGACCTTAGACGTCTCATTAGGAGTATGCCACGTCGGATCAATGCTTGTTTGGCAAACAGAGGAGGATTTACCCGTTACTGACTTGGTTGTGATGCTGTGGTAACTTTGCTGTTTGACCCCGGGTATCATTTTACCCTTATAATGGTCAGTCTGTGCCTTACTTAGTCTAACGATCATTTGGAATAAATCGATGAATGTGAACTTCATTTCATTTTGTCATTTGTTTCTTCGTCAGTTTCATTAGGTGACTTTAATAACACTTAAAAATCAAATATCCCCTACTTTTTTTGAATAGTATATATAAATATATATATATCAGAAGGAGAGAGCAAAGAATATATACTAATTTGATACCGCCCCCACCCCATCCCCCCTTCTCGCTTTCTACCAAATAATAATTTAAATAAAATAGATAATTTAATAAATCGGAACAATTACTATTTGATACTCCCACCGCACCCCAAACCCACTAATTCAAAAAAAAAAAATAAAAAAAGTCAAACTAGACCCTTATACATGTAGGTAACTATATTACACACGCAAAAACTATTGCATCACCACCAAGTAAAAACGAATTATACCCACCCCGTCGCCGCGCACTCAAGCATCATATATGATATAAGGATATTTAATTATTTGATTAAGGATATTTGATACTTAAAAGTATTACGATTCTAACAGTTGATTTCTAATTTTCATTAAATAATATAAATATTTTCCAAGATTAGCCAATGTCTTTTTATACGCCCACATTGAAATGTGGTCGTATATTGTCGTCACCCCCGTCCGTCCGTCCGTCGGTTCGGCGTCCACAATTGCTTGTGGACGCTCTAGAGGCTAAACTTAATATCCGATTGACTTTAAATTTATATACAGTGTTTAAGTCCATGAGACGAAGAATCCTATTGATTATCAGCGATTTCCGATAATTACTGCCAGAGTTATGGCCCTTGATCACTTCAAAAAATCTTGTGGACGCTCTAAAGGCCAAAGTTAATATCCGATTGACGTTAAATTTATACACAGTGTTTAAGGTCACGAGACGAAGAAGCCTATTGATTTTCAGCGATTTCCGATAATTACTGCCAGAGTTATGGCTCTTGATCACTTCAAAAAATCTTGTGGATGCTCTACAGGCCAAAGTTAATATCCGATTGACTTTAAATTTATACACACTGTTTAAGGTCATGAGACGAAGAAGCCTATTGATTTTCAGCGATTTCCGATAATTACTGCCAGAGTTATGGCTCTTGATCACTTCAAAAAATCTTGTGGATGCTCTACAGGCCAAAGTTAATATCCGATTGACTTTAAATTTATACACACTGTTTAAGGTCATGAGACGAAGAAGCCTATTGATTTTCAGCGATTTCCGATAATTACTGCCAGAGTTATGGCCCTTGATCACTTCAAAAAATCTTGTGGATGCTCTACAGACCAAAGTTAATATCTGATTGACTTTAAATTTATACACACTGTTTAAGGTCATGAGACGAAGAAGCCTATTGATTTTCAGCGATTTCCGATAATTACTGCCAGAGTTATGGCCCTTGATCACTTAAAAAAATCTTGTGGACGCTCTACAGGTCAAAGTTAATATCCGATTGACTTTAAATTTATACACAGTGTTTAAGGTCATGAGACGATGAAGCCTATTGATTTTCAGTGATTTCAGGTAATTACTGCTAGAGTTATGGCTCTTGATAACTTTTGGACGCTCTAAAGGCCAAAGTTAATATCCGATTGACTTTAAATTGATACACAGTCTTTAAGGTCATGAGACGAAGAAGCCTATTGATTTTCAGCGATTTCCGATAATTACTGCCAGAGTTGACTTCAGATTGATACACAGAGTTTAAGAGCTTGAGTCAAACAAGTATATTGATTTTCAATGAATTTTTATGACTTGAACAGCTAAATCCATGATATTAAAAGTTTTGTATACTAAACGTTAGCATGGGGCAGAACTTTATAAAAACCAAACAAATTCTAATCGTTTTCTGATAATTACTTCATGAGTTGTTACTCTTAATCAGATTTTAGTGTATTATAAATGTTTCATTACCGAAAGAAGTAAAAATATGCGACAATACTTGTTGACTGCCCGGACAATTTAGCTGCTGTGGGCGTATGTTTCGTTGCCTGGCAACCTATCTTTATTATTATTTCCTTGATTCATCAGGTTTATTAACTTATGATTTAGATCATAAAGTCTGTCATTGAATCAGATAATGTGGATTCTCAACATGTGCGTGACAAGGAGTAGCCTCATGGGTTTTATCCGGGTCCTGTTTCCTCCCACATTAAGACGTGTGTGTGCAAGCAAATTACTAAAATAAAATTAAACCATGTGTTAGTCCCCAAATTACCTAGTCTGTGTCTACTGGACGTCAAACTCCATTTCACTAAATGACGCTGACGCCATTTATACATTTCATGGAAAGTAGGAGCAAAGAATTAGGAAATGACTCTCTCTCTCTCTCTCTCTCTCTCTCTCTCTCTCTCTCTCTCTCTCTTTTATGTGTACTGTACACTAATGTGCATACGGGTCGTGGCTTTTCGTCCAATCCAAATAAATAAAATGTAAGAGACTGTCTTGCACCACTGACCAGGCGAAAGCATGCTAGAATATCGAGAGGAACTTTTTCGGACACCAACAGGAGGGAACCTGAAACTTCCAGTTGAGCTACCCAACGTCTTAATCATTTAGCAAACAAGTCAACTCCACAAATGAAATGTTAACGAGTCTGGCCACATTTGAGAGACTTGAATCCTGGCCTAATATGTTAGTCTCGAGTCTTTATCAGTTCTAGTATTATAAGTACTGATAAAGAATCGTTTTAAGATTAGTTTTTTGCCCCTGAATCGGATTCAGACCAGTTATTTTTAAGATGCCTGTGCTTGGAATTTGTCTCCACACCACTGCCTTCGTACATATATAATATTCTGCTATTAGTCCCCACACCACTGCCTTGGCACATCTATAAATATTCTGTTATTTGCATTATTTAAAGGTGGGTGCATGTATTGTAAATCGTGAGAAGAAGATTGTTGGTATTGGTTATAATGCAATGCCTAATGGTTGTGATGATGATAGTATGCCATGGGGTAGAGATTCAGAAGATGTTTTAAAAACTAAAGAGTTATATGGTAGGAATAAAGTACTTTTATTAAACATACATTATATAAGACCTAAATCTGGCTATTGCAGGTCTTTTTTAAGGCCTGAAAAGTTATCTTAATTATTAATTAGACATTAATTAACTTATCCAGACCATAATCAACTCTCGATGTGATATTTATTGGATTAGGATCTGATTTGATCCTGAACTTTCATTCATGATTTAATCATGAAATGGATAATCGAGACTATTTTTTTTATCGTACCGACTTTATTAATGATGATCGGTTCAGAGTGGATCCATTTGACTGAAATTTTCAGCAAATTCCTGTTACATTATCTAGTTTTTAACTATTATAGTGAGAACTGCCAGCTCTTTATCTAATCTCCCATAATGTATCTTTAATAAATAAGAAAGGTTTAAACGGAAGTTGCTAGTACTTCTATCGTTACATAACTAGTCTTCCTGATCGGTCATTAAGAAGATTCTGCTCCACCATACTGCATGAGATTTTGATGTTGCCCAACATCTTAAACTTTACTCCATATTAAATTTCATGCAAATCAAACATTTACTTTAGATTTAGATATTGATTTACCTTAGAGAAATGTTCTCGTAAGAAACTTTTCAGGAAGATAAAAACTTTTGAAATAAAGAAATTAACTATTCTATTCAAAACAGAAATATCAGAGTTACTTCCCTTGAATCATGTTTGTTACTGGTATATTTTCTCTGGGAATATGGTATCTGCTTGTGTCATGTTATTGTACCACTTGTTTTGTTTATGTCATACGCTGTTCCCGTACGTAACTAACGTACAAAATTTAATTGGTGGCTAGCTTTTTTTTCCGCACGTATACAGTGAATGGCCATTTTGCTCAGTAATCCCAGCCAGAATTTGACTATTTTCTAAATTTGCGTTAAAGTTTAAAATATTTGTTTTAGAACTGAAACACATTAACTATTAGTCAATCCCAACGCTAAAAACATCAACAGAATTGGTTGTGTATATCTGAAATAGACCCGACCGACGCACAAAATAGTGCAATATGGCGGCCTCTTCTATGAACAGACGCTGTCATTGAAGACAACGTCAATTCTATGAGTTGTAGATGTTATTTTTGTGAAAAATCATTGGAAGAAGAGAGAACCTGTTGGGACTGTACGAATTATATGGCCTTTATGGGTGCAAAGGACACAATGCTGAAGATAAACCTATTGTTTACAATCTAACGTGTTGTTGACCTCAAGAACCATTGATGTCAATGTCATGACCTGTGATGTGTAGATCACGTGATTTGGATATCATGGCTATTGACTGTGTCTGAGAATGACGCTGACTTCCTAGGCATTTTAGACCAAATCTCAACTGTCATACAATGAAACTATTTGGTACTCGCCCATACCTAAATATATTCATCCCCTCAGAAGCCATGTTGAATCCCACTGAATTAAACATTCAAAAACCTTACTACATCATGGAATCTACAACAAATCTAAACTTAGACACCCCAACTTTTCTTTACTCTGTTACAAATACAAGTAAAAGAAAAAGATTAATGGGTCCCAGGCTTGGCATACAATCTAATTTAAACGTCCCTTATTTAACTTGTGTTCATAAGACGTATCACATCAAATAGAAAATGCTGTTTTTACCAAACCGCAAAGAGGTCTGATATTCTGCTAAGACCAAAAAATTTTAATTGTTTTTAAATTATCTTTATTGAGAAATCATTTTAGATATTATTATTTTTATGGTGTGTCATTCTGAATTAATGTTGTTGTATATATTTTTTTTGAATTCTCTAATTTTAAATTTTAATTTTGTTTTCTTTATAGTATGTCATGCTGAGTTAAATGTTTTAAAAAAAATTTTTTGAGATCTTATAATTTTAAGTTTGAATTTTTTGGGTATATTTTTAGTATGTCATGCTGCGTTAAATGCTGTTTTAAATAAGAATTCTGCTGATGTAAAGAACTGTACGATATATTCGGCATTATTTCCATGTAATGAATGTGCTAAAGTTGTTATACAATCCGGTATAACAGAAGTTGTATATTATTCTGATAAATATGGGGACAGACCACAATCTAAAGCTTCAAGAATTATGTTTGAAAAAGCTAATATTAGATGCAGGTTTGTGATATTTACACCTTTCTCGATTAGAAATGAAATTTAAGTTGATAACCCAAAGATCTCGGTTCCTTTCGATATTCGTGCATATCGGACCGTAACTTCCTAAATTATGGCCCCTGATTGTACGAAAAACCGCGTTTTTAGCTTGTGGACCCTATAGAGGTCATAATTTTTATCCAATTTAAAAAAACATTGTTATATCACCGTTACACCCTAAGGACGGCTGAGTTCGAATTTCATGAAAATCGGCCCAAAATTGACTGACAAAATGGCCGCGGTTCGTTCTCAAATAGCGTAAAATTATGGTATATCAAGGTTGTGGACCCTATAGAGGTCACAATTTTTATCCGATTTTTATACGCCCACATTGAAATGTGGTCGTATATTGTTGTCGCCCCCGTCCATCCGTCGGTCCGGCGTCCACAATTGCTTGTGGACGCTCTAGAGGTCAAAGTCAATATCTGATTGACTTTAAATTTATACACAGTGTTTAAGGTCATGAGACAAAGAAACCTATTGATTTTCAGCGATTTCCGATAATTACTGCCAGTGGCCCTTGATCACTTTGAAAAATCTTGTGGACGATCTAGAGGCTAAAGTTAATATCCGATTGACTTTAAATTTATATACAGTGTTGAAGACCATGAGACAAAGAAGCCTAGTGATTTTCAGCGATTTCCGATAATTTTTGCCAGAGTTGTGGCCCTTGATCACTTTGAAAAATCTTGTGGATGCTCTAGAGGCTAAAGTTAATATCTGATTGACTTTAAATTTATACACAGTGTTTAAGATCTTGAGACGAACAAGTATATTGATTTTCAAGAATCTTTATGACTTGAACAGCTAAATCCATGATGTTAAAAGTTTTGTATACTAAACGTTAGCATGGGGCAGAACTTTATAAAAACCAAACAAATTCTAATGGTTTTCTGATAATTACTTAATGAGTTGTTACTCTTAATCAGATTTTAATGTATTATAAATGTTTCATTACCGAAAAAAGTAAAAATATGTGACAACTCTTGTTGACTGCCCGGACGATATAGCTGCTGTGGGCGTATGTTTCGTTGCCTGGCAACCTATCTTGTTGAAACTTGAAATGTGAGTTTATTACCCAAAGATCTCGGTTCCTTTCGATATTCGCGCATATCGGACCGTAACTTCCTGAATTATGGTCCCTGATTGTACAAAAAATCGCTTTCTTTTTAGCTTGTTCTCTATCCATCTCTCGAAAATGTGGGCATATCCTGCCTGGCAGCCGCTGGTTTTATATTTTATTTTGCAATACGTGGGGGATACACTGGATTTATTTCTTTCAAAATGAATACTGATATAATTACTTGAAATTGACATGTCTCGCAACGTGAGTGTTACTACTTGATTCCCCATTTCCAGTTTAATAGTCCCTATTCATAGAGTTATGTCCCTGTATTATATAGTATAATGAATTGTGTCTGGGTAGTTCGAGAAGAAAATGGCATACGGAGAATTCAGTTTTGTTTATAACAATTTATTTGACATTTTATACACGTTTATAGTGTTGAGAAAGCCTTCTAGTATTCAAAATGTGGATAATCTTTGTGTCAGTATTCAAAACGTTAGAATTTAATTTTTGATTACCAACGAACAAAATATGTATCACAAATACTGGTTGTCGGCATCCCTATGTGTGTGGGGAACTTTCATTCCCTTTAATAGACTTCAACCACAATTAGTTTTATGTTATGTAGCATATCGTGTTTTAGTTGCAAAGTACTTTGTTAAACAAATAGAAATGAAACTGGTATGTATAGCTAATAACAGTGCGCGTTTCGGATGGCTACATTTTTCGTATGGTTATAGACTACAGAATATTTTTGTTGTTCAGTGATTGGAAAATGATTAAAATACTGTGTGATAGCAAATGGGATGACAGATGGGAACACATGGACAATTCTTACTAAGGGAAATGGTTTCAGACTAGAATGCCCATAGGCAGTGTAACCATAATGTTTTTTAAACATTTTTTCACGCTTAATTTGGGACAAGAAACTTGATTCGCAGATTCATTTAAATTTGATAAATTTCTGCTAAACAAATTAATATCTGATTCGCACTTACATCATTTATGTTTAGCAAACTGCAATGCGATACCGCTTATCATATTTCCTGTTTGCCTTGCACATAAAAGAACCCTTGGCAGTTGGAATTAGATATAAGAGTAGGATGTAGCGCCACTGTTTGGACAAAATTTCCCCCATTGCACACTGTACGGCATATGTCTGTCTTCATAAGTCCAGTTGGAAGAGAACAGTAAGATGTTTATCTCCATATCATTTGCAATATCGTACATGAAATGGCATAGCCTTAGTCTTTCGAAGACCGTCTCTTCCAAGATGGGTTGTGTGGCCAAATTTTTTAAGCATGCTGTTGGATCAGAAGTTCTGTCATTGAGTCATGTGGCATGGTTTCGATTTCCTGCTTGTATGTCCAACCTTGTGGGTTTTCTCTGTGTCCTCCAGTTTCTTCCCACTGCTAAAGACCCCTACATGCAACTGAATTATTGAAATAAAATTTAACCATATGTTAGTTCCAAAATGACCTAGTCAAGTGGATGTTAATCTCTCTCTCTCTCCAAACATGTGGTCTGCTGTCACTTTATTTAACAGTGGCTATGGTGTTCATAGTGTAGGGCTCTCATAACAATCGTGGCTGTCAGCAATAAACTTGACCTGCCATCCTTTCTTGTCAGGCTATATAACAGTTGTGGTGGTTGTAGTGTCTCTCATATCTTTATTGGCTGCCTAGCAGTGAAATTGACTACCTGGAAATCTGACCCGTTTGGACAAGGCTAGGCCAGACTGGAAAATCCAGTGGAACTTTCGTGGCCAATACTGAAATCAAACTAGGATGTCCTGAAAAGTAAGCCAGTTTACAAGTCTTGACACGAAGCTGGAATAAATTCCACCTACGGGTACTCTTTATTTTAATTCCAACTGTCAAAGGTTCTTTTACATGCAAGGCAAATTTGAGATACATTTAATGATCCTTCACATCTTGGTGGATGGATGTGTGACCCTATTGTTACAACCCTAATTTGTTTTATTTTTCAGGCAACATATCCCTTCTCAAAAACAGATAACGATAGATTTTAATACAATAGAAAATATTACCAGTCAAAGTATTGAAGCTATTGACAAACTCCAGATTTAAACATACCATAGACTTTATTATTTTAAAACATTAAATCAGCATTTGGTGATGGTTACATAATAATTGCTAAAGTTAATATCCAACTGACTTTAAATTTATATGGGGGGGGGGGGGTGGATGGACGAATGGTTAGCACATGCGCGCTGTATCATCTGTATCATAAGGTCTGCCATTGAGTCAACTGTTGTGGTTTCGATTCCCTGGTTGTACGTGACGAGGAGTAGGGTCGCCTGTCCAACCTCGTGGGTTTTCTTTGGGTCCTCCCACTGCTAAAGACCCCTATTCGTTGGCAAATTATTGAAATAAAATTGAACCATATGTTAGTCCCGAAATGACCTAGTTTGTGTCGAGTGGAAGTTAAACTCCATTTCTCCCTCTCTCTTTAGATTGATACACAGAGTTTAAGGTCTTTGAGACAAACAAGTATTTTGATTTTCAATGATTTTTATACGCCCACATTGAAATGTGGTCGTATATTGTCGTCGCCCCTGTCCGTCCGTCCGTCCGTCCGGCGCCCACAATTGCTTGTGGACGCTCTAGAGGCTAAAGTTAATATCCGATTGACTTTAAATTTATATACAGTGTTTAAGGCCATGAGACGAAGAAGCCTATTGATTTTCAGCGATTTCCGATAATTACTGCCAGAGTTATGGCCCTTGATCACTTCAAAAAATCTTGTGGGCGCTCTAGAAGCCAAAGTTAATATCCGATTGACTTTAAATTTATACACAGAGTTTAAGGTCATGAGACAAAGAAGCCTATTGATTTTCAGCGATTTCTGATAATTACTGCCAGAGTTATGGCCCTTGATCACTTCAAAAAGTCTTGTGGACGCTCTAGAGACCAAAGTTAATATCCGATTGACTTTAAATTTATACACAGTGTTTAAGGTCATGAAACGAAGAAGCCTATTGATTTTCAGCGATTTTCGATAATTACTGCCAGAGTTATGGCCCTTGATCACTTCAAAAAATCTTGTGCACGCTCTAGAGGCCAAAGTTAATATCCGATTGACTTTAAATTTATACACAGTGTTTAAGGTCATGAGACGAAGAAGCCTATTGATTTTCAGCGATTTCCGATAATTACTGGCAGAGTTATGGCCCTTGATCACTTTTAAAAATCTTGTGGACGCTCTAGAGGCAAAAGTTAATATCCGATTGACTTTAAATTTTATACACAGTGTTTAAGGTCATGAGACGAAGAAATCTATTCATTTTCAGTGATTTTCGATAATTACTGCCAGAGTTATGTCCCTTGATCACTTTAAAAAACCTTGTGGATGCTCTAAAGGCTAAAGTTAATATCCGATTGACTTTAAATTTTATACACAGTGTTTAAGGTCATGAGGCGAATAATCCTATTGATTTTCAAAGATTTCTGATAATTACTGCCAGAGTTATGTCCCTTGATCACTTTAAAAAACCTTGTGGATGCTCTAAAGGCTAAAGTTAATATCTGATTGACTTTAAATTTATACACAGTGTTTGAGGTCACGAGGCGAATAATCCTATTGATTTTCAAAGATTTCTGATAATTACTGCCGAAGTTATGGCCCTTGATCACTTTGAAAAATCTTGTGGACGCTCTAGAGGCCAAAGTTAATATCCGATTGACTTCAGATTGATACACAGAGTTTAAGATCTTGAGACGAACAAGTATATTGATTTTCAATGAATTTTTATGACTTGGAACAGCTAAATCCATGATACAGTATTAAAAGTTTTGTATGGGGCAGAACTTTATAAAAACCAAACAAATTCTAATGGTTTTCTGAGTTGTTGCTCTTAATCAGATTTTAGTGTATTATAAATGTTTCATTACCGAAAAAAGTAAAAAATATGCGACAACTCTTGTTGACTGCCCGGAAGATTTAGCTGCTGTGGGCGTATGTTTCATTGCCTGGCAACATATCTTTGATAACTTGAACAGCTAAATCCATGATATTAAATTTTTGTATACTAAACGTCAGCATGGGTCAGAACTAGAATCCAAACAAATTCTAATGATTTTCTGATTGTTACTTAATGAGTTAGTACTCTTAATCAGGCTCGCTAGCCTGGAGGTCGGGTGTTCGACCCCTGCATTGGCCGAGAATGTTTATCAGGATTTTCCGACGTGGTTTCCCATTGTCAGTGGTGCAGAATGGAGGACGTAACAAGAACAGCTGTCGACTCGTTTGGATGGAACGGAAAACCGAGGTCCTGTGTATACATTGGCATGTACGTAAAAGATCCCTTGGCAGGTGAACTTTGATATAAAAGTAGGCCATAGTGCTGCTGCCCGGGCAAAATTTCCCTCATAGCACACTGTATGACGTATGCCCGTCTTCATAAGACCAGCATAAGACCAGTCGGAGCATAACAGTAGTACATTAAACCCCATTTCATTTCACTCTTAATCAGCTTAATCAGATTTTAATTTGTTATAAATGTGTAATTACCGACAAAAGAAAAATCTGACAACTCTTGTTGACTGCCTGGATGATTTAGATGCTGTGGGCATATGTTTTGTTGCCTGACAACCTATCTTTGTATATTGTGTACAGTAATAAAAGAAATGTTTATATATATTTTCATGCACTTTATCATTTAAAGAATATTAATATAAAAAAAAATTTATATACAATTTGTGTTTATAGATATATATATATGTATTGCAAAATTTGATGAACATCATTTTGAATGATCTACAAATCTAAAAATGTTTCTCAGTATGCAGATTGTTTTTATGATTTGATGGAGCTAACACTTAGATAATTATAAGTGTTAGGATTTAAGTTAATTGTGGGGTAAAATTTCATAAACCTTGCTAAGGTAAGAGTGACACATTTCAGAGCAAGAGAGTACCAATGCTGTTCATATCTTGTCCAATTTACAGTAATTAAGACTTTTTAAACTATTGCTCCAATCATTTTGTAATTGCAAAAAGGGTGATTGGTGTACACTTTTTTTTTTCTTTTTTTCCAAATAAAAGTGAAATAAAAAATTAACAGCATAAATGGCCCAATGAATTACTTATATATTTGATGTTGGATATATTATCCACCTGAGGCAAAATCTCCCTCATAGTATGTTCGAATAGGACGAAACCCCCAGGCCCTATGTACACATTGTCGTGCATGTAAAAGAACACTTGGCAGTTGGAATTCCATACACGAGTTGGACGTAGCACTGCTATCAGGGCAAAATTTCCTTCTTAGCTCACTGTGTTCCATATGCCTTACTTCATTAGCCCGTTAGGAGAACAGCAGGGCGTTAATACCGATTTCATCTCACCTTCATAGCACTATTTCCAAGTTGGTGCAGAAAAGTAAGACTTTAAACCTCATTTCATTTTTTTTATAGTCCACACTCCACAACGGTGATTCTCGGTGTCGGAGAGTAATTTAACCTAGTGTAATTTTATATCTGTTGTCTACCGGCAAGAAACGACCGAGACAGAATGAATGCTATAAATAGAGATTGGGTTTTTACATTACGTTATTAGGTCAAATTGACTGTGGCTTATGAGTAATGTGTTTAAATTGAAGGTTGTAAAATGTTGTTGAGATAATCCACAGGTTACAAATGCAGTAGTATCGAAATTGTATTAAAGTCGTATTAATAAGAACTTAGTTATAATGCAATAATATGAAGACAGTTTATTCCCAGTATAAAAGTAGCATACAACAGTAGTTTCAACTGTGTTATCTGAGGTGAATTCATTTTAAGTGTAACTTTCCTGAACTGGTTACTATGGAAGACCAGTGGGTTATGGTAACAATACTCGTAGTGTATATTATTTTATTAACTATTATGCTTTTGCCTTACATTATAAGAATTGGATGGAAACCTATATTATGTTTGATGTCTGCTGTTCATGTATTTTATTTGTGTGGAATATTTGTCTTAGCGTTGATCGTGTGGAAATCATATTATTTGGTTAAAAACACGGAATTTGGTCAACGAATGGAGAGAAGTATTGTCTTTGTCAACGAAACAAAGTTTCTCTACGACGATTCGTCAATTCATAGATATATTGGTGAGGATGTTTCGTTCAGCTGCCGAATACAAGTTGGGCATGGCAAGGACAATTACTATATGGAATGGACACGAAATGGTAAAAATGTCAAAGCCGATTTGAATCATCGCATATCTGATACTGGAGTAAACATGGCTAATATTGGTTGCAATGTTATTTATCGAGAATCTATTTTACATATTTATAATCTAAGAGATGGAGATTTTGGTTTGTATTCTTGTGGCAGCATTCATTACGATACAGTTGCTACGGAACCCCGTTCAGACAAACTATGTTATACAAACGGCAGCGCCTCCTCGTGCACCAGGTATGAAGTTACAACGTTCAGATTGAGACGCCTTCCAGAGAGAACAGACGTCATTTTCATCCCACCAGGGGGCATTCTGCGTTTTCGAATTAACTTCCATTCTGTAAGTGCAGATAACTCGGACACGACCATCATCTATACTATCAACGAGAAGCCGATCACGATTCTAGACGACCGACAACTTTTTACCAAATGTTCATTCTTTATTTATAATTATTGGCTGTTATTTGAATATGGCTATCTCTTGTCGCAACTAAACACTGCCATGATAACAATTAACGACAGCCAAACTCAGGTCTTAACGGCAGATACGAATTTTTGTATTAATGACGAATATTTTGGTAACTATAAATTCTTTATTCAGAGGAGATACTTTGATTCAAAAACCAATCGTAGAAAATTGTCGGAAGTTAGATACCCTGTAATTTTTCAAGTGTTACCAAGGCGACCGAATTTGTTTGATTCTAGCTATGTGTCCGTTATTCCCAGTGACCTGACTGTGACGAACAAGACAAGTCGGTGTTGGACTGAACCTAGTTTTAACGCGGAAAATTTCTGTGGCGAAATGTTAGAACTATTCAAATCCATACCGTTTTTATTTTTTGCCGTCGAGGGAATTATCTTTATTCCCTCTTTTCTCTCATGTAGTTATTGCTTCACCTACTATATTTATTTGCTAAATTGGATATTTGTAAAACTATTTCGCGACCTTCTCCATCTCGATTCGCCCTTCCAAGTTATACGTCAAGATGGCGTACATAAGTCTCTGAGTAAGGATTCCAGACCAGCAATTCAGGACGCCTCCCAAAACAACCAAATCTATATTTCATATATCGACGACGACGAGCCGGAGGTAAATATGATTAACGATATGGTAAAAAATATTTTGATTAAAAAGAGTCTGGAATGGAAAGTTGGCATAAAATCAGACCTTTCTCTGGGATCTAGTGTACTTTCAGGACCGCTTGAGATAATACAATCCAGCAGTTCGTTTATCATCTATGGTTCTAACAATTACTGGAAAAGCAACAATTTGGAAATACCCATTATAAATGAAATGTTTTCAGAACTGTCGATCGAGAGATTGATTATTTTAATCCCGTCCGATAATAAAATACAAGATCGGATCGCCAAGCCCCATTTGTTTTGTTCTTGGCACGATGGATTAACTCAAACAGCCAAGAAAGATTTATTGACCAAATGGATAAACCACGTTGCAGCATCAAAGAAAACAGAGGTTTGAAATACGTCATATATTTTAAATGAAAATGACGTATTAGTTCTGTGTAAAATATGTAATTATTAATATTTAGATGTTTTAAATAAAATATTGATTATTAACTCACTCTGTCTACAAACTGCAAGATCAAAACAATTATTTAAAAAGATTCTTGTAGAACTGTTCACTTGGTCATTTTGACTTGCGAACGGAATACAAGAGAATTGATTGCAGATTTCAAAGTTATTCACCACCTCTGCGTTGGGTCATGGCGGACTATTCCGGAACTTTTGAAACGATGCTATGTTTTCATGAAAACCATATACATCTCTGATCTATGCACTTCTTGCCACATTGCCAATCGTCTTTCCCCTCACACGTCCCAACGTATTTTAGAGGTGTAAATTCTCTCTTCGGATATAACAGACTTCGAATGATTCTTCAATTCTTTAATACACCGGAACATAAATCGTCATACAGTACTGACAGGCCAGTTAATGCACTTAGTAAGGGATCCTAACTAGTGACTGCCTTCAATGTACAAATTTTGTTATATTTAAGAAAAATCAGATAATAGGATAAAAGCAAATGTAATTAAAACTGACTTGTCGATAGATGAACAATGTATAAACTGTTCAACAATATAATAAAACAACAAAAACAATAGATGGGATTAACGTCGTTACCCAATGACGGCTTGAAAAGTGGTGACAGGTTAACGACGTTCTAGCCAGTTGATCTTAAAGTGGTTAATTTAAGAAACATTAATTATATTAGCGATTGGCAGATTATCACACCATTATAGTATTTCCCCACACTGTAAAAAATATCCATTTTTTATGTGGCCGAATTATGTTAATCGTTGTCTTTTTTAAATAGAAATTGTGTTAAACATGTGAATTATTTCTTCAAATTACGTGCTTTATATATTTCCATGGAATGTTCAGTATTAAACAGGAAATGTCCGTGAAATTTAGGGATAAAATGTTTTATTCCCTTTTATAATTGATTTAATTCTGTTATTTTACGGAATAAACGGTGGAATGACCAGGAATTTCCGTGAAATTTAGGGATAACATGTTTTATTCCATCTATATTGGACTTAATTCTGTTATTTTACGAGATAAACGGTGGAATGACCAGGAATTTACGGATTATTTCTGTTTGCAAATGCAAATTTAATGAAATTTTTGTCACTTTCATGCCCATAGGAAACAAAAATAATCAGGATTTTGTTTTGTTTTTTTTTCTGTATTTGAAAATAGAATTTATGTTAATTGAAGGAATTTATGTAAATTACATGCAGGAAAAACATGCACATACGGATAAAAACTTCCTGGTAATTTTTGTTTCCGGATTTTTTTACGTTTTTTCACGGAATTGTTTGTTACAGTCTCCCATTTTAATAAGTTGTCAAATAAGTAAAACAATAATAAATGTAAATTATGATCATATTACATCTTAAAATACAGATGTGACGTCACCCTTTGATGTTGGCGTACCATTATTTCAAATAATCGTACGGGCAACTTGCCAATAGTACTTTATTCAAACCAGTGAGATATTGGACTAATGTAACGTAAAAGCTCGTGCGGAGTGTCAGTATTTTAAGATGTTTAACGGTCTCGAGCTTACGACATTGCGTAATATATTGTAAAAACATTAGGGCCTACGGCCCTCATGCTGTTACAATATATTACTTAATGTCTCGCTCTCGACCATTAAACAATACATAGTGAGCGGTTCGATGGGTCGCGACCAGATGATAGTTTCTAGAATGGAGTCACAACCAACAAAAGGTTAGGGGAACCAGTGTTTTAAAGCGATAAATGTTTTCATAGCCGAGGAGCAAACACCACTGTTTTTTAAAGCGATGAATGGTTTCATAGCCGAGGTGCAAACACCACCATTCTTCACAGGCCAATAGCTCCGATTGAGCAAGGTAAATCAGTGCTAAATCCAGCGCGAATTCCCCAAAACTGGAAAACGACTTCGGAGTAATATTCAGACATGTTTACAAAACAGGAAATTTTAAGCTGATGATATTGATCCATAGATATGAACTAAATTATAGGATATCTTGCAGATTTTAATTCTTTACATAGTGGCTTGCTCAGTTGAGCCCCCGGTCCCGTACTGAATAACAGCATGATGGGACGGGCCCTCGTAGACCCCCCACCCCCGCTCCCACTACATAACAGTATAACGGGTTTGCTCCCCACCCAATACAGGTGGGGTTCCTCGTAGCCCCTACTGAATAACAGGTGTGGTTCCTGGTAGCCCCACCCACTTCTAACTAGGTGGGATTCCTCGTAGCCCCCATAACTGTATAACAGGTGGGGTCCCTCGTCGCCTCCTCCCCCTACTAAGTAACAGGTGGGGCTCCTCATAGCCCCAATACCCCTACAAAATAACAGTAGAACAGGTGTGGTTCCTCGTATAACAGTAGAACAGGTGTGGTTCCTAGCTCGTAGCCTCCGCCCCCACAAATTCTCAGTATGAATTTTTCACTCATTTTTCTGTTTCTTTGTAACGTGTAAATTTTTCCATTCTTGCTGATTTCAGTGCATAGTGAGGTTGTGGCAGATGAAATGTTATATGCGCCACTGACACCACAGTTTCGCTAAACAAATATCTTTCGCCTCTTTATTTACGCACATAGATATCTACCACATCATAGGGTCTGATAACGATTTTACATATTTACATACATAGATATCAACCACATTATGGGATCAGAAACGATTTTATTTATTTACCTGCATCATATGATCTGATAACGATTGTATTTATTTACATAATAGATACTTACAAGCAAACATAATCAATAATTAAAGATACATTCTTTAAGATTTAGATAAAGAGCTAGCCATTCTTGCTATAATAGATTGAAAGTAGATGATGTAAAATGAATAATTTGAAAATGTCATTCAAATTACTCTATTGCAAGCGAAGATATTAGCCTTTGAAGGTTTGACAGACGTGTGCAATAATTTCAACCACCGTACTGGTTGATCGAAGCTAAGTCTCGGTCCTCCATATTTGATTAAATCAAAGTATCGTTGAACCATTCTAATCTATTTAATATCGGAGAAATCTGATGCCATCGAGAGTTGATTAAGGCCTGGATCAGTTAATTAATGTCTAATTAATACTTTAGAAAACATTTCAGACCGAAAGAAAGACCTGCAATAGGCAGATTTAGCTCTTGCATAATGCATGTTTAATTTACATATAATAGACATAAAACACATGGAATTTGGTTTTAAAACGAATTGACAAAAACATGAAACACATAAGATACCTAAAACAAGAAACAAATAGATACTTAAAACATTAGATGACTTGTATATAAAATATTAGACGAACAGATGCCTAATACAGAAAATATTTAACCAATACATTCACAAAATATAAAATATTAAACGCATAGATATCTAAAATATAAAATATTAAACAAATAGATAAGTAAAACATAAAGCATTAATAGAGGCAACAGGGAGTAATCGGGTTGATGAAATACAGTTTGAACCCAATTTTTAACGATATGACTCTTTTCTTCAATTTCTGTAGTCCACGGACAGATTCTATATCCTGTTACAACATCGGTGTGTAACTGGTTATTTTGTAAATCACCTACGGTTAATATTAAAATTCGAGACCGGTTTTTATCTCCTGTTCTACTAAGTATACGTGATATTTCGCTCACATATTTTTCCGAATTTTCGATATATCGATGACTTGCGAGTATTACAAATGCATAACTACGGCGAATGTATTTGAGGATTTCCACGGAGGAGTATTTCTCCGGTGAAATGTGTTTTTCAGAAACAACCCGCAGCTTTAATTCTTTGAGAATTTTTTCCACCGACAGAGCCATATTTTGATCGGACATATTTAACTCACCGGGCTGACTAGGCTGAGGGGGTGCATACGAAATATAAACATCGTATTCGTTAGAAATATGTTTACCGTCGAATTCTACAAATTTAGATCGTTGCGATAGCAATCTTCTAAACAGTTTAAAGACCACCATTTTGTTGAGAAGATTAATAAAATAAATACAAGTTATTGTAATTAAACTTATTAATAACAATACAACGTATTCTGCTAAGAAAAAAACCCTGGCCGTTGAGAGAAACAAATCAACATATTGCTCACAGGGTATTTCTATGTCGTGTGTTTTCTTCGTCCAGCATTGTTGAGAATGTGATGAGATCGGTTTGTGGTTAGAAATATTGTAAAAACCGTTGCTAAAAACCTTCGGAATCTGTGGTATTACATCAACTGGTACTGAATGCTCAGTCCAAAGGCCATTAAAATTCCTTTTTATAACAAATGCGTACGAACCATACGAATAAGCGTCAATACATGATTGAAATTGTAATAAAAAGGTGGTCGACTCTCCGTCCAATTTCTCGATGTAATTTAAATGTGAAGAATAGTTATTTCTAGCCTTATTTGGGAATTTCACCCTTAAAAAGTTATATATGAACAAAGAACACGTTGGCATAATAGATGCAGAAACATTGAGGTCATTTCTGGTTACAATAATCTTGACGTTACGCGCATCAGTCATCACGTGATACTCAGTTTCTAGAATGAGAACCCCGCCTGGAATAATTGTAACGCTTTTTTTTTCAAATTGTTTCTCACCCAGATGGAATGTCTCTTTCGTATCACGCAAACACCAGTCTTCGTTATCATTGTGTTCGTTCCAATACGTAATTATTGCTTTTTGTTGAAAACAATGATAAAATCTACACGTATACACACCATAATCCACATCTTGGATGTTATATACATGTAATGTGGAAAATAAAATCGTTTTATATATATGTAATGTTGTGATATTAACAATATTACTAGAATTATAAGATATGACATGTCTAGAATCAGAAATTATACTGCCACCATTTCGAAACCATACTACATTTGATTGACATGATTTGTCTACTTCCATTTTGCATTCAAATTTCACATCTTCTCCAACATACCTCATAAATACCGAATGATTAGTTTTTAATCGATTTGATGTATCTATATAGATTATATTATTCTCTAAATTATGTACAAAAGTTGAATTCCTTATCATTAAATACAAAATGGTCAGGATTATTGTTATACTGATCATCTGAGATAACAAATTCTTAACTAAATTTTCCCATCTAAAATACTTATACTTACATTTAAACCAATTATAATAAACATCGTGAATATAGCTCTTTTTATTCAAATAACTATTTATTAGAGTACACAGTTTAAGTAAGACTCGTAAAATACCATATCTTCTAATTAAAAGCGCAAGTGATTGCTGAATGTACCATTGCAAATAATATATTTTCCCTGCATATTTATACCGAAACCTTGTATACCATCCAGAACCTAGTTTTAAAAAAATAATTAAAGCAAGGAACAGAATAGCTAACCCCAGCATTCTTCTATTAATAATCGAATAGCAACAATAAACGTCTAGAAATAATCTTATAAAGTTAATATAATGATGATTAGTTTGTTTATATTTATAATCAAACAGGGTCACATTTAAAATGGCGAATAATAATAAAAACACATGGAACAATTTGTAGTCAATTAAATGAAGAATAACAGAACAGCTTGATAGAAACAGGCTATAACAAAAACAAATTGTTATGTTGCGTACACATTTGTTGTTGGATATAAATCGTCGGTAAAAAATCATATCAAATATGTCTTAATATTATAATACTTATACACAATTGTAGTTTATAGAATGTAGAGTAACAGAACAGCTTGACAGAAACAGAATATAAAACGAACAAATTGTTATGTTGTGTATCCATTTGTTGTTTGCAATCAGTCGTGGGTAAAAACGAGAGAGGGAAATGCAGTTTAACTCTAACGTTAATTCGATACAAACTAGGTCATTTCGGTACTAACACATGGTTCAATTTTATTTCAATAAATCGCTTGCGCGTATGGGTCTTTAGCAGTGGGAAGAAACCAGAGGATCCGGAGAAAGCCCACGAGCTTGGAAAGGCAACCCTACTCCTTGGAACGTACAAGCGGAGGATCGAAACCCCACAACTTGGCTCAATGACAGACCTGATGATGAAACGCGTTAACCATTCGGCCACCCAACCCCCACTCATTCGTAAAAACTTATATCAAATATGTCTTATATTCAATATTAAGGGAACAACTTGATAGGAATAATCTACAAAATGAACAAATTGTTCTGTTGTGTATTCATTTGTTTTGGTCGGTCAAGATTCATATCAAATATTTGTCTTTGCATCAAATAAAAACATGAACATAATTACTTGTGACTTGTAAGACATTCAATTAACGAACATTTACACCAGAACAGAACATGTAAACAGTTTGATGTTTAAAATTAGTGAAAAACACAAGGTGAACACAGTTTTACACTAATACACCGGAAATTAATTAACAAATTACATGTATTATCAAACTGTGATCAAAATTGATCAATTAACAAATTATTACCAACTATGTCCCTCATTAGTTCACAGTAGACTGGTTTGCACATTAGAAAAAAAAACAGAAATAAAGAATACGTTAAATAAATTATTACCAGGATATTTCCTTATTATTTCACAGTCAAGTAGCTTGGTTTGCACTTCATTAAACATCACTGATTTGAAACAAGAACCAACAGGTTTACACCACAATAACCACCCGGCTCTAGTTAATGTTTTCAAAAAGCTGTCTCGAAATCTGTGAAAATATAAGTAAAAACAACAAATTAACGTATCGCATTTGGTATTCCCCGCAAATAGATATATCATTACCAAACATACATATTTGTTGACTATGAACTTTCTACGACTTGTGGGATCTGCTGTAACTCAGTGAGTAAGACATTGGCTCGTTAGCTTGGAGGTCTCGAGTTCGCTCGCGGTCTTGGCTGAGAACGTTCCTACTATCTAGTAATTCGGAAAAGACAAAAAAAACGAGATCTCGTGCGCGTAAAAGAACCTTTGGCATTTGGAATTCGATTAAGTGTAGACGAAAGTTCATTTCTACGACTTATTTGCTGGACGTTGTGTCCAAAATAGTACCATATATGCACAACTTTAATTAGTTCGTAGAACGGTCGTATATTCCGCCAATGGAAAGGTTTACGAACTCTGTACTATATGATATCACAATCTGTATGCAAATTCTCAAAATAAGGCCACATTATTCACCAAGAGACTAGGAAACGAATCAAAAATTTCGAATTAAAGACGGGCGACCTTAAATGATTTTTTACGAAATGAAATAAATTGAAATGAAATGGGGTTTAACGTCCTACTGTTCTGCTCCTACTACGCTAATGAAGACGGACATATGCCATGCAGTGTACTATGAGCCAAATTTTGCGCTATGGTCTGCACCTATTTCGAATTCTTACTGTCAAGGGTTCTTTTACGTGCACGCCAATGTGTACAGGGGACCTTGAACGACAACCGTTGTCCTACACTCACTACTGATACGGAGAACCACGCCGGATATCCCGATGAACTTTCTGGGCCAACGCAGTGATCGAAATCGGGACCACCAGGTTAACGAGTCAACTTCCTACTCACTGAGCCACCGTAACTCCGATTTCTTGTGAAACGATCGAACCAAACATTAAAAAGTCAACAGCGAAACTGGTGTCCCTCTACCGCAATCCCAAAATAAATATAATATGAAATATAACATTTATCTTTTCGTAACCCATCCAGCTGTCAAGCTGCTTAATCTATACTTATCCTCAGTGGAGGATGTTCAGGTGTCGCGGTTTTCTTTTCATGTACTGAATCTACGTACGATGTTTGACCAATCCCCCTCAATTAAAATCCATGCTATGGTGTCACAAAGGTACTGAGAAGCAATGAAAACGTACCACTTTTATAAATGGATGATCGTAAATCTGGTTTGAGAGACAAACATTAATATTATCAATTGATTGAAAGGCACACATAATGAATTCGACAAAGTGGGTGTACCAGAGACTTCACGCGAAGGTTTAGATGCCAACACAATACCATCCTGAGATTTGGCGATGGTTTCCAGCAAACATGGTCAACTAGAGATCGACCCGGGCATGCGTGGTTACGCGTGACAATGTTTTGACACGACTGGAAATAAATGAAATGAAATAGGGTTTAACGTCCTACTGTTCTGCTCCGAACTGGGCTAATGAAGACGGGCATACGCCATACAGTGTGCTATGAGGGAAATTTTGCCCGGACAGCGGTACTACGGCCTACTCCTATATCGAATTCCAACTGTCAAGGGATCTTTTACGTGCACGGCAATGTGTACACGGGACCTCGGTTTTTCGTCCCATCCGAACGACTAGACAGCTGTCCTTATCAGGCCCTCCGTCCTGCATCACTGACAAGGGGGAACCACGCCGGAAAATCTGGATGAACTTTCTCGGCCGGTACAGTATCCGACCATATCTGCCGGATCACAGACTGTCAGTTTCAAGTAGCGGATCTAGAAGCTGAGCGCCCCGGTAGAACATAGCTCGTATTGCCTATATAGTTGTTCGCCAATCGTTATCTCGCTGAAAAGCAGTTTCATTCAAGTTGTCATAAAGTTCTCCCTCTGAGAAAAGTCATTGCTGAGAGCAAATTCTTGTGAAAGAGAGAATCAGAAATGGGAGTCAATGGGACAGAATCTTGAGATCTGCTTGTCAATTCGTTTTGTGAGTGTTAAGCAGAAAATTTGTACATGCTGTCGCCCAACGCAACAGTGGTACTACTAACTGGGTGGTTTACTATAACCGTGAGTATGATAGTGATGAGATAGTATAAGAAAACAGAGGAGTGAAGGAAGAATGACGCTATAATGGAATCGAGCAACGAAGGCGCGAAAAAAGTTGAGATAGCAACGTATATGTAATTAAGGTTTAAATCTTTTGGGACTGGGCCAAAATATTCTTGCAGAATCTCGAGGCCTACATGTTAATTCCGCCTGTACAGTCTGTCGCCCCACGACCCCCTCACTAGTGCTAAGTACTACTAACTGGGTGATTCACTATGTAAATGATAGTGATGAGAGTGTATAAGACCACAGATCAGGATTGGAAGAATGATGATACATGTAATAATATAATGAAATTGGGTGCCGTAGGCGCGAAACAATTTCTGACATCCACGTATAATATTCACGTAACTGAGCTTTTAGCGCCCAAGGCGCAAAACAAATTCAGATAATATGTAATATTGGGCTGGGTCTAAGGGGACAGCCACGACGTATAATATTCATGTAACTGAGCTAAAACAAATTCAGATAATATGTAATTTGGGACTGGGTCTAAGAGGACTTTGTCTCACGGGGGCGCTTACTTGGACTCGTGAGGAAGGGGGGGGGGGGCTATATCCGCGCCTGTCAGTTTCCCGTAATAATGCTATCGTGAGAGGTCCATCATTACTGACACTGTTCGTCGCCAACGTTTAAACCCAATTTCATAACATGGGACTTCGTGCCAGGCAGCCCAACATAATTATATATAAGACCAATTCTGAATCGGCGTCCTCAAAATATGCACCTATTTCAGCATGATAGGCCTGCTCGAGAGCATAGAGCACGTGTCTCGGTGTAATTCTGGTGCGTTCCATTGCGTCTCGGTATATTATTAAGCTTATATAGGCTTACCGTGGATAATCACCTGTTCCTGTATACAAGCTACGCATTATACTCGATATAGATCTTATTGTGTAACTTCATATGTGCTCGATCCCCAAGTCTCACGAATATATTAGATATTTTCATACACATGCGAATGTCTTGATATCCGAGTCTATTCGTTTTTTAATCGGCCTAACGAGGTGAATTGTAAGTAAGATAAACGCGTATGAAAAGATAACTTACGTTACATAACGGTGATCAACGGGTCAGTTAGAGATAACGCATGTATATCGATGAATGGCACTGATTTATTCACTCATTTATTGACCTCTAGACATCAATTTGGTCAATACGCTGATTATTTCATTCTGATCCCACTGCTTCCAATTTCTCCATAAATGTGACGTCGGACGATGCCCAACAGACCAAAATCCCCTAAAATTCTGGTTCAAATTCATGTCAACACCTACCATATTTCATGACATTTTAATGTGAGGTAGACAGTATGAATCGAAACTATGACGACAGACTAAATAAAATCTTCCTTGTAGAAACACAGTGCTATAAATAGCTACGATGACACGATCACGTGCTTATATCAAATAGCTGATCGCACTCTAGGGGTTCAGTCGCTCGGACCTGAAAATATGTTTGAAAAGCCTTTCCATTTCATAAACGACCGAATAATAAGTCCTGTAACCGTTTACACTACACATACTTCGGACAAGTGAGCAGTCACCACATTGAATGCGTTTTGTTAGGCGAATGTTGTTAGGACTACTGTCCAGATCCGCCGCCTACTGACGTAAAAGGAAATATTTCATATTATTAAGGTCAATATTGACAAAAGTATTACACCACTGTTTACGGCATATAGACGGTATCAAGATGGCGGCGAATCATCACCATGATTGTCCGATCTGTTTGGAAGAATATACCCAGCCTAAGATTCTTCCTTGTTATCACACTTTTTGCCAGAAATGTCTGGAGGATCATATCAAGGCGCATGTTCATCTCAACAAGTTCTTCTGTCCTGTTTGTAGAAAAGACACGGAGGTTCCAAAAGATGGGGCCAGTGGATTTACAGCCAATTTCTATGTCGTAGATAAGAATGATAAGCAGAGATGTCTACTACATAAACAAATGGTACTTAAATTTTACTGTCGTGATTGTACCAAACCTGTCTGCTACGACTGCAATGTCGTGGGTCACGAAAACCACAAGAAAGTCGATCTTGAAGTTGTTGGGGTAGAAGCCAGGGAAAAGCTGTCAACTCTAAAGCAGACACTGGCCAAATCGCTTCAAGATATACAAGTTTTCTGTGATACACTCACCTACCAGATAAAGGATATCAACAACTCAGCCGTACAAGCCCGTACAGATGTCGATATACAAGTGGCAAAAATTTGCACCACAGCCAAACAGCATGGCGAGAAAGTGAAACATGACATTAAGAACAGAGAGGATGAAGAAATTGCCACGGTCATGAAATTGCTGGATGACATGAAACATGTCCAAGATCAACTGCGGGAGAATGTACAATGTTCAGATGATGTGTTGAAGAGAGAAGCAACTATTCCAGTGCTAGATGCTTTACCTGCGGCCCAAGCGTTGACAGACGAAGTTAAAGTCAAACATTTAGACTTCCCGGAGATGAAGCATCCATATTTTCCCAAGTTGGAGATAGACGAACAGTGCTTACAGCAGCAAATTGGTCAAATGGAAACCATATCGTCAAAAACCTTCACATCGACTTTTAATGCCAGTTTGATGGATGAAACAGATCGGTCCTGTGATGGCGGTAGCGTACAGATACAAGGGCTGCCTTGGAATGTGCGTGTACAACATAACATAGATAAATCAACATTAAGCATGTTCTTGAAGATGGGAAGTACAGATGATGAAAATATCAAGTCCTGTAAAGTTCGTTACACCTTCAAACTGATCAACACGTTGGATGAGAGCCAGTCTACCGTACGCACGACTGACCACACATTTACACCAGGCGGTGGCAACTGGGGCTGGATTGATTTCAAGGATTGGAATTTCGTTCAGAATAAGGACAATTATATTGTGGATGTTGACGACATGTTTACTGTTCAGACAACAGTAAAAGTATTAAACATAGAACAATAAACTGAACACGTAGGACTGGAATTACCCAGATGGTATTCACTCGGTGGTAGGTGTGTTCTACAAAGAACACCATCTCTTTTATTTTAGAATATCCCCTAATTAACCAAGTACTAAATATTCATATAAAATAGTTAGTGTTTTATGATTTTTTATGAATTATTTCAATATATTTATATTCGTAATTTACCTTTATTTTGTATGTAAACGTTTTTCAGTTTTCATCTTTGGATGTATTATTGGCTTGTAGCATTAAACTTAAAGATACATTATGGGAGATTCAATAACGAGTTGGCAGTTCTCACTATAATAGTTAAAAACTAGATAATATAAAGCCAATTTGCTGAAAATTCCATTCAAATTGATCCACTATGAACCGAGAACAAAGCGATTGAATTTCCACCTAGCCTTGGTCATCATTACTAAAGTCAGTATGATTGATAAACAGCATAGTCTCGATTATCCATTTAATCGTTAAATCGAGAAGGAAAGTTATGCAGTAAATTGGCTCACAATCCACTAAAGATCACAGACTAGCGATGCCATCTAGAGTTAATTATGGTCTGGATAGGTTAATTAATGTCGAATTAATAATTTAGATAACATTTCAGGCCTAAAGAAAGACCTGCAGTAGACAGATTTAGCTCTTGCATAATGTATGTTTAAGAAGTGGATCAATTTTGTTTATTTTCCTGTAATATTATTTGATTCCCATCCAACTGTATTCAATTTCTCCATAAATGTGACGTCTGGTCGATGCCAACCAGAGCAAATTTCACAAAATTTTTGAATCGAATTAATATATTATAGCTATTTTATTATTTGATATTGTCAGGTCAACTGTATATACAATGTATGGAAACTATGACAACAGACCAAATAAAAATCTTTCTTGTAGAAACCTGGGCGCGAGAAATTTTTTGAAAAACTGACTATAAATAGTGCTTTCTATATGCACACGGCAAAGTTGTCTAAATTTATGACAAGGTTTGGGGGCTTCTGTGTAACACTAGTGCTTTTATTCTTTTTTCATGGAACTAATTTTACATTATATTATACATACATATCTGAAGTTAGCTTATGATGTGATGTATATATCGGAATAAAGAAGTAAAATTGGGCGTATTTTTGTTTATGTATTTATCTACCGTAAACATAGAAGTACTTGCACTTTATCTACTATGATATATATTCTTAGGGATGGTTTAATATTTATGGGATTCAAGACTTTTTCTTTTTAAAACAACTAATGCCAAACCATTTGTTGTCAATATTCAGATAATTTACGCCCTGTTTTGAGATAGAGCACCCTGGTCAATTGCCCGGGGGATAGGGCGACCATACGGGCCACATGATAATCTATGTATGTTTTGAATTGCATGTTTTTTAATGTTTTAAAAGTACCAATACAATAACTATATGTATAATTTTATCGACCATTTACATTATTTTTGGTTTGATATATTCTATTTTATTTATTTTATATATTATTTTTATTGTATATTCATTGTTGTATATATTATTGGCTTGTAGCATTAATTGTAAGAAGTGGACAGTTTTTCCCTCGCACGATGGAGTTACGTTGGCTAACTACCCAGTAGAACCCACTTTACGTGCACGCCGATGTGTACAAATGACCTCGGTTTTTTCATCCCAACGTACATTGTCCTTTGCCAGGCCCTCCGTAATACACCACTGACAAGAGGGAACCACGCCGGAAAATCACGATAAACTGTCATGTACAACACAGGGATCAAACCAGTGCCATGTTAATGCTGTGCTGGCTCAAAGGCATATTTTGATAGGTGGTCTGGAAATACAGATATTTTGGGTTCAACGATAAAAGAAAAAAGTTAAAGATGGGTTCCCGCGTACAAACTGGGTGATTTAATGGTATATATGAAATAAAAACATATTCAAACTAATTATTTTGTCATAACTTTGCTTCAAATCCGTCTCAAACATTGTAATTGCGACGGAATGTCCTGCTATAAAAATTTAAACCAGGTCATGTTTACGTCAAGTCTTGGAAGTCAGACGAGAATTCATTGCATATATAAGACGATGTTGTCTTTAATCGCTTACTATTTATTACAAATATTGAATCCTAATTAAATTCTCGGAGTATCCACTACCCGCGTCTTTTTCCGTCATTTTTATCTCAGAAAGTGTTGTGCGTCTAACTCTTCATAAAGTTTATCAACTTGTACATCAAGCGCTCAATGTTCGCGTGTGACCTTTGACATCACGCGTGCAGAAATACCTAATCGTCGGGCTGTTGATTAGGGGAACCCTTACATTTTTGTCCTGTATACGCTCCATGAGTGTTTTTCGGGGAATCCAGTATTTTTCCAGTAAGATTGGATATCTCTACTTTCCATATATACCCAAAATTACCATACTTTTATTGGAAATAACCACCCGATAAATACTTTTCTGGGAACCCATCTTTAAATTTAACAACAGAAAATTTATTACAAAAAATTCAGAAACACTTTTTTAGCATTGCCGTAATTACTGTTTTGTTGATTTAGGTATGTTTATAATTGCGTGAAATAGTTATAAATCAAATATCAATTACGAAATCAATGAGAAAATAACAAAAATTACGATATTACTTACGTAACAATATCGTCACGTGTGTAAAGGGAAGAAACGCCAACCCTTTGCCGGACAACACGGAGTATAAAAAAGCCTTCAAGGCCAAACGCGTAGATGAAGAAGGATGTCATTTATTTACATATAAATAAAGGGAAGCATTTTTGTCATTACCTGATAATTATCAAACATTTTAATTTATTTGTTTGTGGCCTGGATTTTTGGCTGGCCCTAATAAGGCACTTGTCATATGTAGGGTTTTGGCCGAACAAACAACATCAACAACATGGTCATCAAATGAGAAAGTATATTATAATAATATCAAACATCTGACAAACAGATTACCAGTTATCAACAGTTCATGACTCGGGTATTGAGAGAAAGTCTTGATAACGTTTGCAATACAGTATATTCGTTAAAATAAGTTAACGCGTATCAAAAGATAACATGCCATAATGAACAGGACAATTAGAGATACCCAGGTAGATCAATGTACAACGTTCATTTCTTTACTAATTTATTCACTTTTATTAAGTTTAACTTTAGACATCATGTTGGTATCTATATGCTGATTATTTCATTTTAATGAGCAACTGCATCCAATTCCTCCATAAATGTAACGTCGCGTCGTGATGCCCAACAGAGCAAAATTCTAGTTCAAATTCATATTGTCAACAGCTATTATATTTCATATTGTTCGTTCAACTGTATGAATCGAAACTATGACGACAGACTAAATAAAATCTTCCTTGTAGAAACCCAGTGCTATAAATAGCCATGATGACACAACCACAGTCATGTGCTTATACCAAATAGATGATCCCAAGTATAGGTCACTGGCGGTCCCTCAAGTCGCACCAACTCTAAGGGTTCTTTCCCCAGGCAGATGTTTGAAACATTGGCTGTAAATGGTGCATTTTATGTATAGGGCAAGGTTGTCTACATTTATGGCAAGGTTTAGGGACCTTCTGTGTACAATAAGTAACCACCAGAATTAAAATAATTCGAAACTCTTGTGGAAACTGGTACCCATCAAGGGTCAAAGAAGATATTTTGTTACACCACTGAATAACATACAATTGTAGAATACATGGCGAGATGAGGGGCACACCACAGGGTAACACACTATTGTAGAATACATGGAGAGATGAGGGGCACACCACAGGATAACATACTATTGTAGAATACATGGCGAGATGAGGGGCACACCACAGAATAAAATACTATTACAGAATACAAACTATTCTACAATACATGGCGAGATGAGGGGCATGAAAGGATATTCAGAAATACGTTCCAACTTTCCCCGCCCCCCTCATAACCACACACACCACTACACCTAATCAGCATAGAACTGTTCCATTGCCCATGACATTTAATTAATGCAATCATTAGCCTATTTCTATCGGAGATTACCCGTTACATATTTTGACTTTAAATCCCCTCCCCCCCTCTCCCGATACAAGTGTTTGGACTATTGTCCTCACTGTAAGCCTTTTCTGTAATTTTTACAGACTTGTTTCTGTAAAACGCCTACAGCGCAGGTCTGTTATCCTGATTACAGACACGAGTCTGTTAATATTTAAGAAATACAGAATTTCGTCCGTAAATAATACGGGTGTTTAAATTAAAGTGACGTCATCGGTCTTCCTGGGCGCCATTACTGCGAAGACCGTTAGTTAGCGGCAAAAAGGAATCCCTCAACATCGAGCACAATAGTTGAACACTACAGTCAATACCAAACATTGCAGTTTTAGGTGAGTATACAGTAGGGACACATCTTTGTTTGACATAGATTGATTCTTAGCATTCGTAAAAATGTACGGTAACTGATTTATGAAATAGCCTAGTAGGAATAGACTCTTCTACTTCTAGACAAATGGACATACATGATACTCACATACACTGTCACAGTGTTAGTGTTAGCACAGAGTAAAAATACACTCTGGTGTTAGTGCTAGGCCTAATATTTTTTCGCATTGTTTTTGGAGGCTTCAGTTCTAGTTGAGGCTACTCGGATGACATAATAATAACATTGATATAGAAAAAAAGTATATGAACTATGAAGGGCTAACATTTCTGGGCTTCATTAAGTTCATAGTCTCAGGTCTGTAGGCTAGGCCTACCACTGAAAACCATTATTAAGAATTTATTGAATTGTCAATGCATTGTCTGGATAATGATCTTTAATTTTTTATTTTACTAATTTTTTTAGGCACAGCTTATTGCATCCTTGAGTGCCATTCCTGTCATCTATAGAGTGGGCTACCCAGCCTTTCTCTGGGTTAGTAAAATTTTTTCAAAGGTAGGCCCTACCGGTAAAGAAAAATTATAAGATTGAACTTACTGAAGATAATAATTTTGGGAGTTGAGCGCATTGTTAATGAAAACCAACACTTCCTGCCCTCTGCTTGGACCTTGAAATTTGAGGGGTGGTTGGACGAATGGTCTAACCATGGAGCTTATATAAGATCCATGGTCTAACATGGGCCTTAGTTAGGTCAGAATGAAGCCTATGTCTTTGAGTCAAGTGGCGTTGAAAGGAGTAAGATTGCCTGACTAACCGTGTTCATTTTTTCTGGGTCGTTCGTTTTCCTCCCACTGTTTATAAAAGACCTACGGTTAAAGCGATTATTGAAATAAAATTCTATGTTTATTAGTCCAAAAATGACCTAGTTCGTGTTGTGTGTGGATGTTAAATCCCATTTCTCTCTCCCAGCTTGAACCTTGGGGTAGGTCTTATTAGCAACAGGTGAATCCTATTTTAGTCTGCTTTTAGATTTACCTGTCATAGGTGCAGAGTCGCCACTGGTTAGTCCAAAAATCTGATCAGAAACCCAAGATGCGGTAACGATAGAAGAAAGCATGGGTTTTAACCCGGAAAGCAATGGGTGTTACGTTAGTTACAGCTACTACCAATATAAATTATGATCAGAAAAGTTCAACCTAACTTAAAGGAGCTAAATCTGTATTCTTTGGCCCCGAGAAATGAACACAATGGGTCGCAACGATAATAATCTATTATGAATGTCTATAAACTGATTTACATTCAGTCGTTTCTGTTTTTAGTGTAATTTGTAATCAGTTATGCTTGGCGAAATATGTCCAAATTGAATGGCAGTCTGGTTATTCCAGTATACACTGATAGTATTTGTGATATGTTTAGTCTCCTGGGGGGGTTGGATGGCTGAATGGTTAGCACGTGCGCGCTGTACCATAAAGTCTGTCATTGAGTCAACTGGCGTGGTTTCGAATCCCCGGTTGTACGTGGCAAGGAGTAGGGTCGCCTGTCCAACCTCGTGGGTTTTTCTCCGGGTCCTCCGGTTTCCTCCCACTGCTAAAGACCCCTACGCGCAAGCGAATTATTGAAATAAAATTAAAACCATATGTTAGTCCTGAAATGACCTAGTTTGTGTCGAGTGGACGTTAAACCCCATTTCTCTCTCTCTCTCTTTAGTCTCCTGTTTGTGGACATGAAACTTCATTTTCTCGCACATTTAGCTCCCTTTTCCTTAATTAAAATGTGTTCTTTTGAAATGGATGTCATAAGAAACAACCTGATTGAGAATATTTGTTTTGCAGGTGCATTTTTGAAATTAACCCAGATAACGCACAGAAATCATGAAAAAGAGGAAGACTCGAGTGTGCCAAAAAGTGGTATAACTAATCACTAAACTGTCAAACTTTAAATGGATGAAGTACAGTTACAACAATAGCAACAATATACCGGTACTGTGAGAAGGTATACGACGGTATAGATGCCACATTTTGGTTCAAGGTGCTTTAAATTCTGGACCACGGTTTGGTTAACATGGTACAGATATTTTAACTGTCCATTTTCATCCGATGCAGAATACTCCCCTGTAGTTCATGTGACAAGAAGGAGAAAAGATGGCTTTCGGCAATGAAACATGTGTCCCGCTGAAAGTACATTCCCCTCTGGCGAACCACAAATCACGGATATAGGAACATTTTTAATCAAAAACGTCAGATGGAAAAGCAGTGGCTAGGGAGCTGGAAACACGTCCAAGAAGAAATACTGTGATATGTATCGTTGCAACCTATGATGCAATAATGTTCATGCATGCAAACTTTAGGGATAGGCCTATTGAGTTTATGGTTAGTTTTTATACACCAGCACATAGTGTGTATAAAATAGGTGATAAGGGACCGAGCCACAACCCTTTTATGAGTGATACTTTGTAAATGAGACTTTAAACGCACTGCAAGAAATCTTTTCAATGAATCTTCTTAATTAAACTTGATCTTCTTATTGTACTTTTGATAAGATGTCCGTTTACTTTAATGGAAAAATCTTTTGGTCATT